TTGTGTTAAAGACTTGAAGCTTTAAACAATACAGTACATTATGGTCAATGATCAACACTCAACATGTTGTAGCCTGTGGTCTTTGTGCTTTTGTAAATGGAGTTGTCTATATAAATTTAAGATGCCAGGTGTTTTTGTAGCATCTGTATAAATTATAGAATAATTGATTTAAGAAGTTCCTCAGGTTGTAAAACATTTGGTTATAGATTTGCTTTGTAAGTTATTGCCACTTGACAGCATGATGGGCTATTCCATTTAATATCCGTACACCCCTGTCGAGGATACATGTTTTTCATGGTTATACCCCTGAAGAATTTCAAACTCAAAGGAAGAATTCCAAAATTCCAAGCTCAAAACCCTTTACCCCTGAAGAATTCCAAGCTCAAAACCTTTGACCCCTGTTCAAAGAATTCCAAAATTCCAAGCTCAAAACCTGTTATCCCTGAAGAATTCCAAGCTCAAAACCCTTTACCCCAGAAGAATTCCAAACTCGAAACACTTTATCCCTGAAGAATTCCAAGCTCAAAACACTTTACCCCTGAAGAATTCCAAGCTCAAAACCCTTTATCCCTGAAGAATTCCAGGGATCCTCAACAGGGGGGGTGTATGGATATTAAATGGAATAGCCCGATGTAAGGCTATAACTAAGCCAAACCTGAAACAATTTTTACATCAATTTGTGTCTGGATAAAAAATAAGTAGTGAATTTAAATACAGATGTTTCCTTGTCTGTTGCTATGTGAAACAATGATGTTTATAGCAATAAGAGTCATTGTTGATCAATAACAATGCTCATTTGCTAAAAATATACAAGTATTGATTCCATTTCCAAACTATTATACTATGTGAATATATTGGCAATTAATCCAATTATATATAAAAGGAGATACTGACAGTACTATCAAGCCTCCTGTGTATTGTTTCCTAAGCATCATTGAGGGGGCACTTGTTCTAAATATATGCAATAAGTCTGGTTACCATTAAAAAAGTCCATATTCAGAGTTACCGTTGTACAATGTTTTATTAAAATACTGCAGAAATGCAATATATTTCATGATTTTAAGAAATTGAATGAGGGCTGCATGGTTAAAAGAGGAGGGGGGCTTATTTATTTTTGATTTTTGTATCCAAATGAGGGGGGGGAGGCTTTTTGATTTTTGTATCCGAATGAGGGGGGGGGGGTGTTATTGGAGAGGGGTTTGAAGAGAAGGGGGCTAAATATAGAAATTACAGTACCTCCATTCCTTCCTCTCCCTTCCCAAACATGCTGCAGGAGAGGTTGATGTATAATTTGCATGTTATGTACCTGGTAATATGGAGAAATGAGCTAGTAAATATATTCTTGCCCATAATTAGTTGCTGATTAAATGTTTAAAGATACACATTAAGCATGAAGAACAAATGGAAGATACCCACAGCCAGCACATTTTCAACAAATACATATGGATTTGTTCACTTCATTTCTTACTTTCGACACAAGTAATTAGAGTAATTATAATTACAAACACAATGTACTGTCATTTAAAGACTTTATATGTGACCTTTAAACGTATAAAAACCCATTTTGTATACTATATTCTGATGAGAATCTTTGTTTAAAACAATATCGATCGTGAGCGTGTGCCCGCGCGAATTTAGTAAGCGGAATAAACAAAAGTAATAAAAGCGCATGCGCCATTTATCTCATTTTGGATAAAAAAAATTCGATTTCCCCAGAGTCATGCCACAACCTAACCCGCGAACAGGCATACTCTGGGAACGAGATTGTGTCGTGTTCGGTGAGCGGTGAGCGTACCAGTCACGTGGCAGATTCGTAAAATACGACAAATACCGAGTTTCCGACGAGCATTTTCATGCCGAGTTTTCGTCGAGGAAACGCAAAGAAAATTTATATATTGATTATTTGCCGAAAATTTACATAATCGAGCGCCTTAGAAAAATAAACCCAGGTAGGTAAAGCTTTACTGTTTTAACTTACCTTATATTTTGTTATTTGTTGTGATTTTGGAGCCGTTGTGCTCGCACTGATTATTTATCAACTATCACGCGTTTTATAATATATTTATATATCGTGAAAGCCTATCAAAATACTCGATTTTTATATACTTAAACTGAAACGGAGCCATTGTGCTCGCACTGATTATATTGTGTGCAAAGCTTCAAAACTACAGCATATTTTGTAAACAACATGAAATAAAAATATCAAACACAATTTAAATTATAAATAGTAATACAATTGAAATCGAGATTGAAATATACAACGAAATAGCAACCATTGTGAAGTTCGCATAAGATTCAACATGACATTCGATATAGTGTAAATTAACTCATTTCAATCACTCAAACGTCAAAATGATAAATAATAATCATTTTCAATCTATTGTAGTAATTCACTGTTTCCACACGTTTTTTATACCCATTAAAAAGTTACAATAAAGCTATATCTATAGGAAACAACGTTATTTAGTTCACAGTCAGTCGTTTTTGATAAAACCTTGACCCACCTTGACATTGTTAAAGGGGCCCTACAGTAATTTTTTAGTCAAGTAAGTATTGTTTACATTTTTGTTATTGTCGCTACTTGACATGCGCATCATGGCATGCATGCGTCTTCCGGTGTGCGGAAGTACTCATATTCATGGATACTGCATGTAAGATACAGCCAAACGAATCTCCGTGGAGTCCCCTACTTAAGGTGGCTTTTCGACTAAAAAATGACTGTAGGGTCCCTTACTCCCTTTAATGTTATTATTACCGTCGCTTGCGGCGAACTATTAACGGTCGCTTAAAAAAACATTGTCTATATTCGCGTGTTTCTGCTGGGGTCTACACCGTAGGCAAATTCGCGTGAGAATCTTAAGTTTTCTTGTTTTGACATAATAGCTATTTTGCAATAAATATATTGATATTAAATTTATTGAATCGATATTTTAAGTTTCACGCCAGTTGTACCAAAGGTTATAAGCGCTATAGCGCATCATAAGCATAGATATCTTATATAAGATATCTATGATCATAAGTTTCAGATGGCATGCAACATGTACGCAGTGCGTACCTATTTTTTATATTTTTCATCATGGCGGAAAGTACAGAGGGAAAGCTTTACGGCGACTTACGAGCAATTACCGACTGACAGAAATCCAAATTTCTTTTATATTTTTATTCAAGCTGCATCGTTATAACTCGGTCAAGGAAACTGGCACGAGTCATGACGTCAAAATTAGTTGTCGAGATTAGTGTGCTGCCTACGGCAGCAAAAACGGCTCCTGAGAAGAAAAGGAAAACATGTCTGGACACGTCATCATAAACTTGGTTACCATAGCAACATAGTTTAGGTAAGTGATCCAATCACTACATTATTGTATTCCCAGATAAATGTTACGAGGAAAAGTCGTGAAGTTTCGTGCGTTTAAATGAAAAAGGGCAAAAGTTATAACCATTCAAATTAGGCGCGGGTACTTTCCGCCCCCACCTCCTACAAATAGCCCGGAGACAAAGCCATATTATATGTTGACAAAATGTTTTTGCACAATAATTATGTAATATATACATAATTATCCAGATCGAACTTTTCCAAATACTGCTTAGCATAAAATTACTATCCCTCCCTCCCCCACCCTAAACAATGTTCGGTCGTTGTCAAGGAACATTTTGCGCAGGTATTTGACGTATTTTCCAACACAAATTGAACGGGGGGCGCGTGGATCGATTATGTTTAACGTACGCTATTTTGCTATTTTGCCCAAAGTGTTTTGTCACTGATTATCCAAAACGTTATTTTAAGACAAATCAGAGTTTTAGTTATTGAAGCTAGAATTACTTGTATCCCAGTTTATAGTATTGCCAAAGGTGTTTGCAAATATAATATATGCCGTGTTTTGGGTGAGCGTAAACATGGTTAATTTATGTATACATTGCTGCTGCCGAGCGAAGCGAGGCGGCACACTAATTTCGTTCCAGTCTCCCGGTCGGATGTATATATTGCATTCAGGCGAGATTTTGTGACGTGATATCAGTTGGCGAATTTGTGACGTAAAATGACGTAGCAGTTACAAAATGGTATACACAGAGATTTTACGAAAACAATCCGAGTAGAATCGAATAACTGTGTCGGAACTGGAAAACACCGCATTAGCGGTGTAATTTGGTGGTCTCCAAGCAGTAAGCAGAGTGTTTTCCCAGTATAAAGTGACTGATTTACATGCAGTATGTTGGATTTTCACGATGCAAACGATCGACAATATTTTGAATAATTCAGGTAAGGATAGCTTTATTTATTTATTTCTGGCGATGTACTTGAAGGCATTTATATTTAGATCTGCTGTTTAGTGTTTGATATAGAGGTATTGAAACAATATGATTTCATTAATTTATCAGCAGTTTTGATGGCCCACTGATACACTTATATACAAGGAGTCAAAATCTTTAATGAATAATTTCAGTTTATTTGTTTGTGTGGCGATGTGCATGCCAAGGCGATGAGTTTATAGTGTTCATTTTATAGATATTTATAGCAATGTGCTTTGATATATGTCCATTATTATTGCTGCCGAAGGCAGCACACTATTCTTAACATGAAGTATCGCGTTTACTTGTGTCCAGTCTCTCTGCCCGAGCTATGTATTGTCGAGAGCTCGATTTTGTGTCTGTCTGTATGTAAAGATGTCGTAGTTCCAGGGAAATAATTGAGGCTTCAAGAAGTTTTTTTAAACGAGGGGGGCGGTTAAAATTTACTTTGTATTGCACACGGATCAAGTTCTTCTCAAGTTCTCAAGGACAGTTATGACTAGCTTATTTTCATGATGCAAAATAAGGACAATATTTTCAATAATTCAGGTAAGGGTAGCTTTATTTCTTTTTGGTAATATACATGAAGGCATTTATGTTTAGAACACTATGATTTCAAGAATTTAGATTCAGCATGAATTTATCCTGCATTTCAGAATTTACCCTGCACTTAGTGATCGTCTTTATAGTTAATATCCAAGTATTGTTTGTGTGGTGATTTCCAAAGGCGATGAGTTTATAGTGTTTATTCTACATGTTTATAGCAATGTGCTTCAGCCATTTCAGCACGTTTTAAAAACAAACGTAGAATGTTGTGTGGCAGGGCTTTAATAATATTATAAAGATCTCCCTATAGCAATCCAGTGTGGGGATTGTTGCCTGCAAGGGCAGATTTTCATTTTATAAAAGGTGGGGTGGCCAAACATTTTCTAGTGGGGTGCATGCAGCACCACTGAGCTTTGGCAGGGGTTAGGGTTAAAGGCTTCACACAAACTAGGAGCTAGGGGTGAAGTGAAATTTTGGTGGGGTTGAACACTTTATAACACCTCAGGCTCAGGGTGTTATACTCAGTACTAACCCCCCAGTAAATCTGCCCATGGTTGTCTGCACATATTAATTACTTACCAGCAGTTACATGTAATAGCATGTCAACCGACTTTTGTACAAGGTATGAAGGTTTGTAAAAATATATCTCTGAGATATGTCCATGGTCAGCATAATAAGGAGTAATCCTACCGGCCCGCTACATAATACATTCATATATTCACCTGGCTGTGTCACTACATTTCAGGGTATACTATATTTTTTCGATAATGCTCACAATTTCTTATTATATAGTTTTGAAGTTCTGACTCAGTACAATCTTAATCATTACAAATTAATGGTGCCATCTGAAGCTGATGTATTAAATTAAACAAAAATGACAGTTGCTCCGTGATAGGCATAGTTTTGTATTATATTAGAATGTTAGGGTTTGCAATCCAAGTGAGTATATATACATTTTAAGACCTGACCAGGAACGACTGCGAAAAATGCAGCACAAGGTCCTCTATCTTTGTAATCCAAGTGAGTATATATACATTTTAAGACATGACCAGGAACGACTGTGAAAAATGCAGTGTTTCTATACATGAAATTGTTATTAAATTTTACATGTCCAATGATTCATTCAAGTATTATTATTGTTGATGTATATTTATTATACAAAGTATAGTGCTTTATATAGATTTCGAGCACTGATAAAACTGATAATCTCACATGTGAGATAATTTATGATAATCTCATATGTGAAAATTATCGCTTTTCTGCAAAAAATTATTTCGCTTTTCAAAGACTGTCCTTTATATAGTAAACAGAAAAATACATGAATGCTTGGAAATACCAGATTATTTCATGTGTTCTGTGCACCCATGTATTATTCTCTATATAAATATATAATATTGTACAGTATTCAGTGGCATGCTAGTCATAGCAACTTGTCATGCTATGCCCTCTCTGCTATGCCTATGCTGATAACCTTGCATCTATTTGAATGATACAAATCATTAAAAACTTGCATAGCAAGAATTGTTGCTATGGCTAGCTTCAAAAGCAAGAAGTTATAAGCACTGGCATGGGCGTACCGGAAGGAAAAATTTAGGGGAGCGGAAAGAAATTTGCCCGACTTTTCCAGATTTTGCCCGACACGTACCGAGAAAATTTTTCCGGAATTTGATTTGGCGCCCTCCCCCCCCGTCCCCAAACAAATTTCGGTCAGTGTACCATTTAAGGGGTCAGACATTTTTCCCGGACATACCAAAATTTTCCGGAATCTAACAAAAATTTTGGAAACATCACAAAATTGATAGAATTTTACCAATTTATTTTTTTAATAAACCGAAAATGCCCGACTGTTCAGCGAATATTGCCCGACTGCCCAACAAACTGGGAGGAGGGGGCTACGCCCCCCCCCCTTCCCCCCCCGCTTGCCCGGTACGCCCATGAGCACTGGAGACATTGGAGGTATTCATATAAAACCACAGGTGGCCAGGCTCTGTGGGGTATTTGTTTATTTTTTAATTTCATTATATTTTGCATTACAAATTTACTTTAAATTATAAAGTATAACTTACTTAGTTTCCTTTATGTATTATTTATGGATTTGAGGGTGGTTTGAGTTTGACATAATGATATAAAAACATCATGAGAATAATGGCAAAGCGGGATCATATAAACAGCCCCTTATTCAGGCAAATTGTACATGCTGCCTTTGACCCCTTGGGGGGTGAGGCAGCACTTTCCTTGCGATAGTAACTTCTAGTTATATGTTATAAATACATAGTGTTGCAGTATTTGCGTGAGTGCATATAGTGTATATAGTATATTGGTTATTAGGTTGAATAAGGTCAATACTATAAATTATTGTATGATGTTTGTTGTAATTTTCGCACTATGTATTCGTTTTGAATATCTAAAGGTATCAAAAAACGAGGCAATACGATAAATTATTGTATGTTTGTTGTAATCTGCGCGCTATGTATTCGTTTTAGATTAGGTTTTTGAAGAACGCCGGATACAATATTATAAATTATTGAATGATGTTTGTTGTAATTTGCGCGCTATGTGATTCGTTTTCAATAAGGTTCTTAAAGAACTAGGCAACACGATAAATTATTGTATAATGTTTGTTGTAATTTGCGCGCTATGTATTTGTTTTGATTATATAATGTTTGTCTTTCTGAAACGAGAGAGATTGGTACAAAGTGTACCACCCAATGGTAGAAATAATACCAGACAGACCGTCCAGACGCATTGATGAAATGATATCATGTTTCTTTGTACACCACAGGTGGTGGGTAGGTAAGCCAGATATTGGCATTTACCGATAGTAAAACACTTTTACCATGCGTTACATATCGTAATGTTGGACAAGTATGAATTATATACCTACAGAAGCAAGAAATTTTAAGCATTGATGGTATTCATATAAAAGTACCCAGGCCTAGCTAGAAAGTAGAATTAGAATATTTAGCTAATTAGTTGAACTTTGACTTAATTTGTGCGAGCATTCAAGGTGTTTGATATCCAAATTGCACTTTCCCTACTTGCTGCACAGGCGTTTTAGGGCTGTTCGAATGCTGCATGGTTAACAGAACTGTAGAGAAGATCTTGCAGTTCAAAAAGATTATTATTGCTGCTTGAACCATTTGTTACAGTTAACAAGAATCTATCTCCAGAAAATAATGACGTTTTTTGCTGAATCGTGCACTGTGACTTATTTCAATACATCGAAATCATCCCGCCAAACATCTCGTCCTGGCAAAGCGGGATCATATAAACTAAACGGCCTCTTATTCACCAAATTGCGCATGCTGCCTTTTGATCTCTTGGGGGTGAGGCAGCACTTTCCTTGCGATAGTAACTTCTAGTATAAAATTAATAATCTAGTTTCTTCATAATGCGTTTATGCACGTTTCCAGAACTACTCGAACATTGGGAACTTGCAAGCGAAACTAGAAAATGGAAGCGAAAGTAGTAGAGCAACCTGGAATTTAGGGCTGGTTTTTAATTAATTAATAGAATGTAACGTCATCATCAACATCCAGATTAATCTCAAAGCTGTAGTATTTTAAAGCGCACAGTATGCATGTTATAAATAAGAACTAGTTATAGAGAAACCAAGTAATATTAAACAACTATTTCAGATACAAAGCGAGCATATATGCTATTTCTAAGCAAAATGAAACGATATTCCTGCAGAGGAATTAATTGCTAAAAAACGGCAAAAATATCTAAATCGTCAGTCTCTCTTATTCTGAGAGAAAACGTTCAGCGGAAAATGTGGAAAATGGACTTAATTTAGAAAAGCGTATTAATTTATATCCTTGCTGCTTGTTTAAGCAGGCCGGCTCCGCCAGGAACTTGCTTTGGTTTCATGGCCAGAAATCACGGACATGATTATTCTACTTCCTTACCAATTTGCATATCATTAATACATAACCCGTTGAAATATGGCTTCGGTAGTAAACAGTAAATTATATTATGCGATGCTTTAAATCAGAATTATTGGTAGGTCGTTTGCAATTTGCCTAGATTGCTGGTGTAATAATCCTTGAGCTTTATATTTCCACGTACAGGCAGTTCTGACATATATTCTGTACTCGATAATAGATAAATACAACAGCAACACGAGGCCCCATGGGGTGTCTCAAACAGGAAGTATATCATTACATCCTCCTTTCCCTAACATTAATATGAAAGTTTATAGTTCCTTGGATTTCAGTATAGTACTGTAGTTTCTTTTAGATATCAATGAGATAAAATGTTTTGTATATATAATAACAAGTCATTTACAGACTGTCATCTTGTGTTCAATTTCTTTCTACATATCTAAACGTGTTGGGGGTACTACAATTCTGCCGCTACGCGTTGTGGATTGTTGGCTTTCTTGGGTGCTTTTAGGGGACGGGATTTCGGCGTTGTCTAGTGTTCTTTCACCGGGTTCTTGATATGCTTGTTCCATTGGATCTTGTGGGCGTTCTCGTATTTGTGTTCGATTTCGCCTGATTTCTCCTCTTCCTGGTTTCGTGATAATGTAGGATCGGGGTACTTCTTGAATTTTCTCTTTTATCTCTGCGGGTTTCCAGGTTTGTGTCCTTGGGTCTTGGATGTTTATACTTTGACCAGGTTTTAATGGTTGGAGTGGTTTTGTATTTCTGTCATGGTAGTATTTCTGCGTAGCTTGCCGCTGTAATAATCTGCTAGTCACATCCTCAGTTGTTTTACCTTTCGGTATTTTCTTTGGCAGGTTGTCTTGGATTGGTCTACAAAATAGGAGTTCAGCTGGGGATGGGAGAGTGCTGTTGATTGGAGTTGCCCGTAAGCATAACAAAGCCACGAGTGGGTCTGTATTGGTTGCTCTTGCTTTTTTCATTGTCTTTTTTATAGTCTTGACTAGGCTGTCAATAAACCCATTGCTTCTGGGGTAGTGTGGTGAGCTTGTGATATGTTGGATATGATATTGCTTTGCGAACTCTTTATATGCTTGTCCTTCAAAGTGTTGCCCATTATCGGATCTTACGATTTGGGGTATTCCTTGTTCGCTGAAAATTTTTTTCGTTAAATTCGCGATTGTCCTACTGCTGCTCTTCCCTGTTGGTACCTCTAACACGAACTGGTATTTTGAGTAGTAGTCAGCAACCAATAAGTTTTCCGCGCCGTCTAGGTAAAGTAGTCTGTACCGATGGTATATGCCATGGATCTTCTCAATGTCACTGTTCATTCCTCTCCAGTAAACCTATGTTTGGGCTCTTAATTTAGTTTTTTCGAACCCTTGTTGACCTGCGTGAAGCTTCGTAAGTATCATGTTCTGCATGATATGGGGGATGATAATACGTTGGCCTTTCACTGCTATACCATCTTCGGTGGTGATCTCATCACGAAAGGTCCAATAGGGTTTGAGGATTTCTGGGACCTGCTTTATGTTCGTTGGACATCCATTGTAAACCACATCATTTAATTCTTTAAGCTCCGGATCTGTTGCACTTGCCGCGCGGATCTCCTGCAAAATCCCACTACCGAATTGTGGACAGATTTCGTGTATTTGGACGCCCATATCAGAGATGGACTCTGTTTCCTGGGGCGAAAGTCTTGATAGGGCATCTGCGATTTCCATATCTGCTCCTTGACGGTATTTGATTGTAAGGCTGTACGGCTGTAGGCGCAACAACATCCGCTGCAGGGGGGGGGGGGCTGATGTAAGGTGCTTAAGGTGGATAGTTTCAAGGGATTTGTGATCAGATTGGACTGTAAAACTGCGGCCGTAGAGATAAGTGTGGAATTTCTCGCATCCGTATACAACTGGTACGATTTCTCTTTCGATGTTTGCGTATCGTCATTCTTCGTCAGTTAAAGCTTTACTGGCAAAGGCGACTGGCTTGTCTTCTTGCAAGAGTGTAGCTCCCAGGCCTTTTGTTGATGCGTCAACTTGCAGTACTGTCTCTTTCTCTGGGCTGAAGTATGTTAGTGTAACTTCTTCAGAAATTAAATTCTTGATCCTGTCAAACACATCCTGTTGGCTTGCGTCCCAGGCAAACTTCCTCTCCTTCTTGAGTAGCTGTCGCAGTGAGGCAGTGTGGCGACTGTGGTTCGGGATGAATGGTGCCATATAGGTAGCCAGACCCAAGAATGTCTGTAGTTCTTTGCTGTTGGTCGGTGGGGCCATCAGCTTAAGGGCGGACACTTTGTCAGGGTGTGGTTGAATTCCTTCTGGACGCAGATAAGCTCATAAAATTTTATTTTCTCTTGCTTTATGTGGCATTTGTCCGGGTTCAGCCTCAGACCTGTGTCTTGGCACCGGCTCATTATGCTGGGTAGATTTTGGTCGTGTTCTTCTTCTGTTGTGCCAGAGATAACCAATATCATCTGCGATACCCACAACGCCTCTACATCCTTCGAATGTTTGGTTGATTTTTGCTTGGAAGATGTCTTGTGACATGTTCAGCCCAAAGGGCATACGCTTGAAACGGTACCAGCCGAATGGGGAGTTAAAGGTAGCTAAATAGCTTGATTTTTCGTCAAGTACCACATTCCAATAGCCACACTTCGCATCGACTATTGAGAAAAACTTTGCTTTGTGTAATTTTGGTAAAATCTCTTCCAAGGTAGGAATGGCGTGATGTTCTCTTAAGATAGCTGTGTTTAGGTCTTTTGGGTCTAGGCATAAACGCAATCGTCGATTCTGTTTCCTCTTGTAGACCAGACTGTTTACCCATCTTGTAGGCTCTCCTTCGTTTATTTTAGTTATGATACCATTTGCAACCATCTCGTCGAGTTCTTTCTTAATGTCATCTTTCAGACTGATTGGAACTCGTCGCGGAGTGTGGATAACAGGTGGGACTGATGGGTCGTTGATTAATATGTGGTATTCGCCTTCGAATTTTCCTATGCCATTAAAACAGTTCGGGAATTGATCTATCAAATCTTCTTCGCTCTTTATTGGTTTGGGTATTGGTGGTCGTTCAGGGGTTCTGGTGGTTAGTGGTGGTTGCTCAGGGGTTCTTGTGGTGGACCACAGTGTGTTGCTGTGTAACACTTGTTTGAGTATGCCACAACTGAATTTCACAAGGTTGAGGTCAATCGACGTTGGTTGGCCAATAGCAGGGCCTTGTGTGTCTGTGACATAGAACCGTGCAGCAGATCTTTTGCCTTTGAATTCCCAATCAATGGTGACGGTGCCATGGTGGTGTAACTTGGATCCCCCATATGCTGTGAGGATAGTATTGGAATGCTTTGTAGCTCCTCTCTTGGGGTTGCCCTTCTGATCAATTTTGCAGGGGTATATCGCACGGTATAATCTTAGGGAGAGTATATTCCCTTGGGCACCAGTATCGACTTTGGCTTTCAGTGATGCTTGTGTGTGTGCTTGCAGGGAAGCCTTGACAGTTGCTTTGGGCTTTGGATCTAGGTGGATTCCAACCTCTGCAAACACTTCGTCTGCCCCTGCCTTCAAATACTGGTGGTTAACATTAGCTACAGTAATTGATTCAAAAGTTAGAGATTCAAATTGGGTCATCGAGGGATCGCATTCTACCTTCTCGATAGGGTGTATTTGGCTCCTCCTCCCTTTTGATTTTGCAAAATGGTTGAGCTTGTTGTATAGGTAACAGATTTGTCCTTTTGCTGGACATTTCTCTGATCTGTAGTGCTTTCTACCACAGTTCCCACACTGGCTTATTTGTTGGGGGTACTTTTGTTCAAGTGATTGCTGGGGGTACTTTTGGTCAAGTGATTGTCTCGATCTTTGAGATTAACTGCCTTGATTTTGCTGCCTGACTAAGTGAATGCTTTCTTCCTTGTTTTCAGGAGACATGCTTTTGAGTTGGGCTTGGGTTTTTTCATAGGTTCTTGCGATTTGTATAGCTTTGTTTAGCGTGAGTTCTGCCCCTTCCATTATAAGTTTTTCCCTCACTTTGTTTGAATTTGTCCCAAACACAATCTTGGGCTAGGAACTGTAAGTCTGTTGTGAATTCCTCTACTGGTTCGGTGGGACCTTGTATTTTGTTATGAAACTTATATCTAGCAAAGACGGAGTTTGCTTTCGGATTGACATGCTTTTCGAATCGATCATAATATGTTTTTAATTTACCTCGTTTGTTTCGACCGACCAAGTGTTGTATATATCCCTGCCTTTTTGTCCTACCCAGATGAGTAGGTAGCTGCATTTCTCCGCTTCATTTTTGATCTCAGCGGTCCAGAGAACATTAATTCGACATGTTGTTTAAAACGTCGACACTTTTCCTTGAGATTTTCGCCGTACCATTGCATCACTGGAAGTTCAATACCGTTAAGAGCCATGAATGTAGCTTATACGGTCGATATTCAGTAAAATTCTACTCCTGACACCATGTAATAGTCTTTGAGCTTTATATTTCAACAGGCAGTTATGACATATATTCTGTACTCGATAATAGATAAATACAACGACAACACGAGGCCTCATGGGGGGTCACAAACCGGAAGTATATCATTACAGCTGGTAGCAGAACACGGTCTGTTGAAATATATCGTGTAGTGTTTGCCTGGTGTAAGTTACCGCCTACTCTGCATTTTCGTTTGTTTCTAGTGGCAATAGTGCGGTATTCTTATATAGAGTTAAATAGACAAATTCCGTTCGAACTAACCTCTGTACAAATACTGAAAATGCAGAATAGTAACTGACTAAAATCAAGTCAACATTGCGCTAAATACTTCGACAGACTTTGATTTATAGCCAGCAACGGAGGCAAGTTGCAAACTACTTACCATATTCTCTGATTTTGGGATTTACAGCATCGCGTAATATAATTTACTGTTTACTGCAGAAGCCATATTTCAACGTGATATGCAAATTACGAAGGAAGTAGAATAAATTTTGTCCGTGATTTCTGCCCATGGTTGAACAATTGAGATTTTGTTCCTATGCTTCGTGGGCGTACCTATGCTTCATGGGGCGGCAGCCGCCCCCTCAGTTTGTTGGGCAAACAAAGCCAGTCGGGCAATATTCGCTTCACAGTCATCAATATTGGCTTATTATAAAAATAAATGGGACAAATTCTGTCAATTTTGTGACCAATATTCTATAAGGGGCTGTTTCCTTGAGCCCTACCGGGAGTGCTGGCCCTACAATCAGGAGCAAAAATTATTGACACATCCTATTCGCCCCCCAAGACAATGTTGTTTTCATGATACCAAACCACAGTGTTGGTTGAGAAGATTCACCCAACATTTTCAATGGGGGAGGGGGGAAATAGTAAGAAAATATCGAATTATATGAGTGTAGATGTGTCATAATGAAAAAGAAATGTTTGAAATACGTAAAGTCTCATTATTTTTGCACATGATTGTAGCTGTAGGGCTAATTTTCACCGCTTGTTTACATAAGAAAAATCAGCCCTACTGGTAGGGATAGCTTCCTTTCGCAATAGCACTTAAATGGCTTCCGTGCGACTCATTATTTTTATTTTGGCGTCCAAAATCATAGTTTGCCGACTAAATTTTGGAATAAAAGCCAACAGACATTTGAATATCCGTTTAGAACTACATCCTTAAAACAAAAAAAGCTTTCAATCAAAGAGTTTAGTCTAAAATCGATTCGACGGCTTTTTCATTCAGCCCTACTAGGAGGGCCAGCCCCATTCTCGTACCCAGAGCCCTTCTTACGCGCATTCGACCGAGCGCGACGAGGGACTCTGGCCAAATCCATATCAAACTGGCATCTGATTGGCCACAACGAAATAATTTATATGGTTTATTATAGTAAATATGAGTTAAAATACACAAGCGCTCCATGAATCGTTGGTTTCGCTTTGAAAATTGGGAGAAAAGACATTATTAAAGTTGAGAGAACAGCAGTACGAAGCAGTTAGGAACATTGTTGTTGATAATCGCCCACAAAAGCAGTAGATGTCGCTAATTTTATTTATTTAAATCAATTAGTTGATTGAAATTAATAGGTTGAGACGTGATGTTCTCGTAGCAAAAACTGAGTTAGCATATTTATGGGAGATGCTCGTCGTATTTCCAAATCAGTGATGTTAATCAAACAAATCTGTGTTACATGTTCAAAGCTGAAGTGCCATCTGAAGAGAAAATATTAAAGCCAGCCAGAATATGAAGTTAATTGTGACGAATATTTTCTTCCTAGAAACCGATTTTTTACAATTTTCAAAGGATTTGCAGTATAGTATGTCTTATGTATGACTGTTGACTTTTAATAAAACACAAAAAAAGTCTAAAAATCTGTACAACAGCGACTTAAAATCAAATATAAAATAGTGAGACAATCTCTTGTCTTCGTATCCGTATCCATTACTGCTTTGACAACGTTTAAGAGAGAAATATATACTAAATTTTATCAACATGCATTGAGAACATCACGTCTTACCTACTAATTGATTTAAATAAATAAAATTAGCGAAACCTACCGCTTTTGTGGGGTTTTCCTGGAGAAAAACTTTCAAAACGAAACAAACAAGAAAACCGAAGTGTTTATCCGCGTTTGACGTTGAGCATGCGCAGTGTTAAACCAAATACCATGTTTTTATGGTATCCGGTTATGGATTTGGCCAGAGCCCCTCGTCGCGCTCGGTTGACCGCGCGTAAGAAGGGCTCTGAGTACGAGAATGGGCCAGCCCTCTCTACTGCGTTTATATGGGAAAATTCCAGCCCTACTAGGCGAGATCTCTGGCCATGGTGAATAATAATGAGATCTCGCCTAGGAGGGCTGGCCCTCTTCTCATGTAAACGTAAACAATTTTTAATAAGGATTTCAAATAGCATGCGGCATCTCGCCTAGTAGAGCCAGCCCTCCCTGTAGGGCGAATGTAAACAGCCCCTAATAGGAATTTTTCGTAATCACTCCTCCCCCCCTCGTCCCAACAACAACAATTTTGGGAAGTTTCTCTGGAAAATATTTTTTGACAACTCGGGCACAATCTGAAAAAGTCGGGCAAATTTATTTCGGCCCCCCTAATTTTTTCCTTCCCGTACGTGTATGCTATGCTTTCATAGTTTGAACAGTTTTTTTTATTTGTTAGTTAATTATTACACAAATTATTAACAGAACTTAGTTCCACACGTCATATGTAATTTGAAACGAGACAAGCTTAAAGACAGATAAACACGACGACCTAAACCGTGCGAAATTAACAAATTGTTTTTAATTTGACGACGTTTGAGACTTTGAGTGTGAGGAGATCGACGCTTCAGGTACGGTTTTGTAGCTTTATAGTTCCATCAACAGTCCATAGTTTAATTTGTGTCATTAGCTAAACTATATACCGATCTAAGCGAGCTTTTCTTATATATTAAACGGATGGTTATTATTGCAAGAATATGTTCGGAATGTCTACATATTAAAATCTTTGTAAATTTGTGATTTTTGGAATAAAACTGAACACATCAATTTAAAAAGAAATCTCCTTGCGTATCGCGATTAGTTTTTCTGGCATGCATTTACATCAGCTTTGACTACTTAGATTTTAAATACGATGTTAAAGCTGTTTACAGCTCCAAGAGCAGATGATATATTTATATTCAAACCTCTCAGTTTCTTGATATTAAGCACCTGATCAACTGCGCCACCGAGAACAGGTACTCAGGGAAAGGTTTTTAGGGAGCTTTTCGCGACCCGTTCGAGTAATGATGTTAATCCATAAGCTTGTCCTTGTTCGATCGCTGCTCGGGGAAATATTTTCAAAGCAACAAAGGCAAATCTTGAAATCACGTCGAGTATCGCACATGCAACAATATATCGAAGTCAATGGCCTAATGTCCTTTATATAACCCTGGTAATTACAACACAATTGTTACGAAACACTATCACTTATAGGCATATAATTTTAGGATAAAAATAAAATAACAGAAGATGTTTGCTTGAGAGCAGGTGAAATCTTCGTGCAAGCAAATATTATCGTAAGCATAATGAGAAGAGATAATGGATATTTTGTCACAAATCAAAGTAAAGTAAATATTTCAGTTCTTCGGAAAACATTCATTGTTTCTTCTATTAGGTTATTTGACAGTTTGTCAGACTAGCTGCAGTTGTGTATGTGAAGACTTCATGTTTTGATTGACCTGTTTCAGTCCTGTGCTTTTTCTTGTGGGCAGATTTGTTTATTATAAAGAGAACAGCTGTTGTGAATTAGTAGCTTAGGTTCAGTATAGAAAATATATAGTAAAAAATTATATATGCATGTCAATAATGTTAAGACCAAAAAATATGTAAGTAAACTGGAATAATTCAATAACAGGAAATAAGAACGTTAAACAAAAACAGGAACTTTTAGCATTTTAGTAAATTAGACGGAATGTACGTACGTAAGGGAAGTTTGTGGGTTGATTTGTGGTCAACCAAGCGAGGAAGATGTGCATAATGTGCGTCACAATTGAACTTCGTCCGGGCAAAAGTTTCCACAGCATGAAAAGTAAGAGAGTACAAGTACGAGTTAGATTGTCGAAAGAAAAAGACGAGTGTGAATGACTTGAAATGAATTGTGAAAGATTGTGAAAGAGTGCGAAAGTTTGTGTGAGTGTTTGTATATTGATAGCGGTGATCAGTCATATGTAACGAATGATAATAGAATAAAATTTGTGAAAAGCATACAGTCCCATTATATTCGAGACCCAGCAAAGGAATAAATCTCACGAGGAGAATTTATAACAACAGCTGCCTGCATGAGGTCTCATGAACATTGACCTTTCACATGGACAGACTCAAGCTTAAAAATACGTCATCCCAAGCTAGATAACACCCTGTTATTCAATTATAACATTACGTCATCAAAATATTAGTTCGATAAAATTGTAAGTAAATTTAGTTTAGTAGGTAAAGTAAAGTTTACATGCGTACTATATTTATGAGCGTCCTTTGGGTACTTAATTATATGATGCAAAATAGTCTGAGCAATGTCCCAAACTAATTTTGTGTAACATGCGAAGCTTCTTTGTACTGTACGTATAATACCATCAATACGCAGCCATCCTAACTTTGAAATAGTTTAACAGAATTGTCGTTGACACTTGCGTCAAGTGTAATCCTTGCGCGACGTTTCTGAATCTTCAAATTAAGTCTATCCAATTGTTCAATTGCCCAATTTCCCCACACTTTGGCGCCGCCAACTCGTTAATTGGGGGGGGGGGGGCGAATATTCATATATTTGTGTTCACAGACCATAAAAACAATCGATCCTCCCCCCAATTATTGAGCTGGCGGCGCCACTGTCTCCACACAGTACAACAGTATTCCAGAACTGGCTTTATGAGGGCGTTATATAACAACTTTCTGCAATGCACTGTTAGATGATTTTTCGCTCTCTTCAAAAGGTATACCCTAGAATATAATTTCTTAATTAGATAGCCCGCTTGTAACTCCGAAGACAAATGTTTGTCGAGAATAACGCCAAGAGTTCTCTCGCCATCAACCGTGAGATGACTAAATTTTTGAGAGGATCCAATTAGCATATGTTTCGTTTTTTGTATATTGGGTACCAAGCGATTAGATTTAAACCAGTTTCTGGCATAATCGAAACTCATTTACCTCAAACTCAGCTATACCCGGTAGACGAGATGGTGGTATCATCCGCATAAGTGTCAGCTTCGGAATTAGTTAATAACAAGACGCCGACTCGGCGTTAACCTCGGGTCGGTGGATAGGGGATCGTCTGGTAAATATCCAAAAATTGTGTAAATCACGATAGTTTAATAGTTCACTAGTATAAATGGTGAATCAGTTAATCAAAGCTCCGTTTTAATATTTTATTGATAATAATTACTGGCCCTCATCAAACCTATTGTTTTCTCTCTGCATTATATCAGCGAATGTCGAGAAGTTTTCATTTAACGTTCTACTGAAAAACGGGAGCGGCCTTTTTGGTTGTATAGGGAAATTCCGGCTCAGGGGTAAATGTTTATACGCGTCATATTCTATGTACGCGTTAAAATAGCACACAACATTATAGTAAAAATAATGCAGCGTGCATCAGTGCACACAGACATTATTAGCAATAATATCATGATTGCGGGTATTCCCTTTGTTCTCACAGGGCAATTAAAAACTAATACACCTCACTATATTCATATTTTCTAATCCTACCCGCTTTTACGTCATGTCAGGTAGAATTAGTTCTAATCCTACCCGAAACGACGTCAAAGCGGGTACGATTAGAAAAAATGAATATAAATTAAGATATCTGAAATCGCCAAATTATACCATTTAATTTATACCATTATTTATTGTTAATTGTTTTTTAATGACCCTGCGAGAACAACGGGAATACCCGCAATCATGATATTATAAGGTAATAGCATAAAAAGAAGCGAATTAGCTATTGAAACGTCCCGCCCGATGAGGGTCGTTTAGTAAAATTCCCTTGGGTTCGGCCCTCGGGAATTTTACTAAATGACCCTCATCGAGCGGCGCCCAAGGGAATTATACTAAACGACCCTCATCGGGCGGGACGTTTTAATAGCTAATTCGCTTCTTTTTATGCTATTACTTATAATAATGCATCTTCGTCACCCTGACATGTACACGCGATAACGTGAACATCCCAAGATGAGAAGGTGACAGTGCTAAAGGCGCCCCATACGGTGTCGTCGGGTGCCTGAAGCACTGTTGGAAACGGTCGCTGTGAGTCTTTTCAGTTCAATTTTATAGAGAAATAGTTTCGTTTGCGCTTGTGGGATTTTATCCTAGATATACGCATGTGCAGAATACACCATAAGTTCTATTCCCGTGTTTATCCAATACGCTATTTGAGTAAACCTTATCATTAATGATAATATGTAAACTAGAACACTATAATTGACCTCCGCTTGTGGAGATTTTAATTTAGGGCGATTAATTAAACTGAAATCTGTTCTATCACAATGCACTACAGTGCCTATGGTTATGTCTATATGCATGTCCTCACAAATGTCTAGTGTAACGTTTGATAGGTTCATTGTCATACGGTCCCGACAAGCAGCAACGTACAGTAGTCTTCCAGCCGAAAATAATTACTTTTGATTCGGGTCAGTAATTATAATAGATAACAAGTGAAAGTTGGCCGCGGTATTCCCATGCTATGCATACGAAGTATTGTGCATTATATCAACATATACTCGAGAATAGTTATCCAGCTAAACATGTATGTCAAAATTATCACATCTTCTGGTTTATCAAATTATCACATCTTCGGATTTTGTGCAAGGACAGCTTCGGGTTGCGTTTCGCTTTGGCCGATGCTTGAAATTTTCCGGAAGAACACTTATTTACCGGAAGTTGTCGTCTCCTCCGCAGGCTCTTCGACTACGCGCGCGGCTCGACACAAATGGAAAAAAAAAAATAGGAGCCGAATTTATGACCTCGGTGTCGTACCGACCCGAGGTAA